CGTTTTGAAACCGTCGCGCGCCGCTGTAGTCTCATCCAAACTTCGCGTGCCGTCTTCCGTTTCCACCCGTGAACGCACCAAAGCATTCGCTATACAGAAAAGAACCGCGGGGTACCACTTGAAGACGTGTCTGTTTCTTGGCGTCGCATCTCGGAAGAATGCGCAAGGGTTCATACCAGCGGGGTTATTCGACCGAAGCGGCTTCCGGCCGGCTGCCTGCTGAGTTCGTTAGGCATCTATATACCCACCTCAAACCAGCAGGCCCCATGGCGTGACACAGTGCATGCACTCTTGGGCTTGTTGTCTGGTGAGAAAGAGGAGGAAGAATGTCTATTTGGGAAAAATAAATTGGCGAGTGTGTATACACCGTAGAATGCAGCAAAATATGCACAATTAAAAAAAAATGTTTGCATGTCACTTGTGTTCATGCAGCGGTGTTGCTATGCGACTGCAATATAAACCAGGCTTTGCTTTATGGCTTCTCTGCATGTCTCGTCACATTGCGGCCCCTACGAGCGCGCGCTTGTTTTGATGTGCACAGTATACGTGGAGTCAGCGGTGCGTTGGAGAAGAAAGAGCCGGAAAGAAATAAAACAGAGAGATCAGCGGCATACCGCATGACGGAATAGACGTAAATGAAAAAAAAAAAAACAAAAAAACAAAAACAAGCTCGTGTGGTGGTTGGTGGTGAGGTAGAAGACGGCGCCGGCTGCCAGCCGCCCCGGCAATAGGCTCTTCATTAGACGGGCGCCAATCAGAGGCACATTCAAGCGAGCGGCGGATCGACCAATCGGGAAGGGAGAAATGCGAAACTTGAAATCCGACACCCGTTACGTCATCATCCATCATACGCGATCCCCCTCTCCTCCTTCAGCGCCGGCTCGGATTCGTCTCTCCCTCACGTCGACGGTGTCGGTGCCTGAAATAGCAGCCGCCTCTCTCCCGCAGGTGCACCCGCGAGATCTTCAATCCGCCATCGGATCCGCCGGCGTCTAATTCCGCTGCACGTCACAGTTGGATAGCAGCAGCCTCCGCATTGCCTCCCTCCGCTGCTGCTGCTGCGGCTTGCACCCTCGGGCTCGTGGAGACAAAGAAGGCGGTTTTAGTACTCAATGAGATTTGTTTTGTTCCTGCTACGCTCCTTTCTTTACGGGGCTGACGGGAGGGGTTGTGGCGGCGTCGCCAGACAGTGGCGTGCGAGTCGCGCACACCGCTGGAAAGGCGGGAAAAAGAGCGCCAGCGTCTGAGGTTCCGTCCGACTGTCTGCCTGCCTCGGAGCGTATAGGGGGAGTGGTTGGTCGGAGAAGAGCGGCCGGGTCTTCCATCAAACGCAGTGCGGCAGGTTGTTTCACTCGAGAGTCGGTGCGTGGCAGTTAGCCAGCTGAAGTCGTGTGCTCTGCCTTTCTCCCGTCCTCGTCATCCCGCCCGTCTCTCTCGCGCAGATGAATCGGTTTCTGCGGGCAACGTTCGTGCGCCTGGTAATGGAAGAAGTTCGACGTTCGCGCGACTTGTTGTTTTCTCCCCGCGTTCGGTTGCGGCTGCGAACAGGAACGATTGTTCCGCGCTCTCTCTGTGGGAGAAGATGATGACTATCGGGCTAATTGCGAGAGACGCGCGGCGGGCCGTGCCGCTGTCACTGGCGTGTGACAGAAGAAAGGCTTAGCTCGAATCTATAGTTTCGTTTCCGTGTTGTTTGTTTTTCCCGCCATAGTTGCCCCTTCGGAGCCTATAGGAACCAGCATGCCTTGCCGCGATGCATTGCAGAAATGCTGTTCTTGCAGCAGGTGTTTTTTTTTTTGTTTTCTGCAATGACAGGGAACACAGTGCGGTGCCTTTGTGAGGTGATAAGGAGAGAGAGAGAGAGAAACTGGGAGAGTACGTTACGGGGCAACGCCGGGCGCCCTCCCGTGATCGCATCGTCGTTTAGAGCAAGTTTTTGTTAGCAACGATAGTATACGCTGTACGACACATGCCGTGTGTATGTGGTACGCAACTTCGTGAGGCATATCGCCATGGAAAGCTATGTCAAACGAATGACGCTGAATGATGGTCGCTCGTTTCGTGTCGTTCTTCGTATTCGTGGCCGCTTATTTTTTATTTTATTTTATTTGCGCGCAGCTGCGAATGGTTAGTTCGATTGATTGATTGATTGATTGATTGATTGATTGATTGATTGATTGATTTGGGGGTTTAACCTCCCAGAACCACCGTATGATCAGTATGAGAGACGCCGTAGTGGAGGGCTCCGCAAATTTCGACCACCTGTGGTTATTTACCGTGCACCCAAATCTGAGCGCATGGGCCTACAGCATTTTCGCATCCATCGAAAGTTCAGTCGCCGCTGCCTGGATGCGGTCCCGCGACCTGCGGGTCAGCAGCCGAGTACCTTAGCCACTAGACCACCGCCGCGGGGTGCAAATGGTTAGTTCATTTGTGTGTGCCTATTGCGGGCACCCGTCATCAGTAATTTTATAATACTCGGTTACCTACTTTCCACCGGCCTCTAGGTACGCCTATGGCACAGTTCAGCTTAAAGGAGTATACTTGTATACTTCACGTACTTAATGTCTAACGCGACATATTACGTGGCAACTGCATAGAATAATTGCATTATTTTCTAATCTAATGCATTGGGCGGCTATATGTCGATACTAATGTGCAACATCACGCAGCGCAGTATCATTCAGATACACATACATCTGACAAGGCTGCGGATGGGAAAGTTTGGACGCAGGCAGATAAGGCTGCTGGGCAACTCGACCGCGACAGTGATCACGTGATGGCCTTATGGAGAGTCCACGCAGCTGAAAGTGATCTGTTCATACTCAGGGCATCGTCTTCGGTCGTCGCGGAAGACTGACCAAACAGGTCGCGCCACAAGAACGCGTCCACCCACGGGGTTTGCACGGATTAGCGTCAGGGGCGCGGTTACATACCACAGCGTCGGCGTCTTTCGCCGGCCAAGGAAGTCTCTTCTTCTCCCCTTAATCCTAGACACGCCGCTTTTATCCGCCTCATCCGCCATCTTTCTTCGCCGGATCATGGCAAGCCCATGGAGCAAATAGTTGCGTGCACTACGGTCAGGCGCGCGTTTGACGCGTCCACGCACCATGTGCACAGCGAAAGGCACGTTTATTTAACCGCCTCTCCAGGGGGCCTGGCTGAGCTCATCTCTGTAAATAGCGTGTATACAGTTCAGTTCACTGTTAAAAGGTACATACAACGTACAGCCCCTCACTTTGCCGGCGTTCTAGCCGCAAATCGGAGATTTCGAAAAAAAAAAAGAGATAGAGAGAGAGAGAGGCGAGGTCATAGATATATCGAATGAAAATGTAAGGTTCAAACAGAACTCTATATACTTTTGTTGCATGCACAATATCACCCTGCATGCACAATATTATAATTACCGGCTGTTGCATTTTGGTATCACGTGATACTCTGCAAGTACGGATTTTGGTGTACGTTCCCGTACTTCCCAGATTGTATAATACTGCCACTGCACGTAAACTTAGATTGCAGTATGCATACACGCGGCATTGTTACAGACAGGGTTCTACACACAATTCATTGTGACAGCTTCATCTAACTATGCGTCGTGTTCCATGTCTATTATGCCACGTATAGATGTACACTGGAGACATTATTACGTAGTTGTGACGTTATACGCAGCACGTAACTTGAAATGGGCGTCTTCTTATATAGAGGAATAAGAGGGTACGATTTTCCGTGCCCCGAGAAGTAATAAACTTAGACCGCAGTATGCATAACACTTCCTTTGAAGCTAGTTTTCAATCCGATTTCTCGTCGGGCGTACCTTAACGGCGCTTCCCTCTCTTTGTGAACGACGCGAGAGCATTAGCGGAGGAATCGAACTCACGGCGAAAGGTGAAGTGCTCGAGGGTGATTCGAAGGGAGCTAGTTCTCCAAATATATGTAATCGAGTGGCCGGCGCCGCCTCAAAAATGAGCAAATGCGTGGAATGCAAATGCGACTTTGTGTGTAGAGGCAGAGCCGTTGTTGCGAGCGCCGTTGAACCGGCCTTATCGCGGTGGTCTTTCGTGGCGGCCGTGTTCCCGACACGCAGCGAGTATTACCGCGGTGCGACCCTTCTTCCTTCTTATTGATCCAAGTGCGAGCGAACGACCGTCGGTGCTTGTCTGGATTACCGCTCTGTGTAGGTGAGGGTGCAGAGGTCAAACAAATAACTATAAAAATAGAGTTCCTGTTCGCTGCAGCGAAGCGTCTGCAGAAAAGGGGTTCCTGGAACGGGCTGGCAGCCGGGAAGCATTTGTATCACAGGCTTCTCTTTCCTTCCCGACTACTATCCATATCTTCACTGCACTTCACCTTGGATCAAGTATTTCCGATTTAGTCTGTATGCGAAACTGTGTTTTCTTTATCGCCAATCGTAAAGGCCAAAAAGCGCCCGAAGACTTGGTGATAGCTTATGGCTAAAATAGGTGAAATCCCTCAGTACTAAAAACAAACAACACAAAAGAGGTGAAGCCTGTGTCACCGTTATAGACCGTGCCACCTTACATAAGGTATACCAGGTCTCAGGACGTGGAGGTTACATGATGAACCGATGACCGCGGGGTCTCGCATGAACCAGGAAATGTCTGCTATAGATGGTTTATGTTTAGGTCGCATGAGTTAATTACAATAAACTGACAAATAGTAATTGAACTGTTTGGGAATGTCGCTGGAACCAATCCTACAACCCTGCTTTTCTGCCAATGGAGGTTGACAAGACTATATTTGTACCTAAGGAGCACACGTGGGAGTTTATATATATATATATATATATATATATATATATATATATATATATATATATATATATATATATATATATATATATATATATATATATATATATATCTGGTAAACCTTGCATGACGTGGCTGTTTAATATGGCGAAATTAGATTTGTTTGAGCGTGTGTGCCCGGGCGTTTAGAACCAAACTTGGAGCGTGACCGATGCATGTGTCTGTGCGCAGGTTGACAAGGCCGGCTTCACGTCGGAGGCCGAGCTGAAGCCCCCCCTGCCGGGCGGCCACCCCCACCACGAACCCGGCAGCCCGCGCACCGCGGTCGCCTGCTCTTCGTCCTCGGCCAAGCTGAAGAAGAAGAGGCCCCTGTGCCGCTTCTGGAAGCTCGGCGTTCCCTCCTCTGCCTCCTCGCGGAGCCGCCTCGTCGCCCTGCTGGTCGGCATCGCCACTCTAGTCCTAGTCGCCGTCGTCGCGTCGCTCGTCTACACACGTAAGCCTAATCACGCGTGTGTCTGTATAGTGTAGGAATTCAACAAACGCACACTCGCCAACGAGGAACAGAACACAATCGACGTCACGGCGCCCAATATGGCTGCCTCGTTCACCTTGTATATATGGGCGTCGATACGTCGATTCTGTTGTTTCGGGTTCTCTTTCTTATTTGGAGTGTATACGCTTTCTTGAACCATGATTTTTTGCTCGCCATACAAGTTTTCGTCAACATCTAGACTTTATATAGTATAGGGGCAATATGCTCAAGAACATTGTCCCCTTCTTACATTCGTTATTTCCTTGTAATGCCCTTGCTGTGGAATTGTTATTGTCAACATGCGGGCAGCGGTGGCGTCAAAATACTACCGTTCGTGTAGCGTCTGTACATTGAAAAGGCGGGCTCTGTTCTAGCGCTGTATTGCGATCAGTTAGTAATACTTCGAGAAACCAGTCCACTACTGCAGAGTATGTTTTATGGCATATGGTTTTATGGAATATGAAATTATGGCACGAAAAACTGAGTTAGTCGAGTCAACAGCGCTGTAATAGGAATGTAATAATAAATTTTTTTCGACTAAGCCGCAATTCCGCGATCATGTCAGGCGCCATTTACAGCCGTTGTTGAGCAGCGAGTGCATCGCTTGTTTACTGCCACAGTGCTGCGACGTATACTGCTGCCGTTTGCTGTAAGAGTTTGAATTTGTACTCTCTTCCAGGGCACATAAGTTCAATGATGTTCAGTGCACATAACTTCCATGATGTCCAACGAAAAACGTGTGAAGCCTTCGTTAAAAAGCTCAAATCCTCAAGCAATGAACATTCCTGCCGAATGCAGTAGAAATCGTAAGTCAGCCCTAGCGTCGTAACTTACAGTCAGTACACTCGGAAATCCTTCAGTATAACATATATGCTCATTTCTCAATCATTCGTCAATGCGTGAACGGTGGTACATGAATAGCTCCACCACAGTAGTTATCTTACCGTATAGTGGCGCCTTAACTTTGGTTGACTTTCCAATCTTTCTCCTCTTCGCAGTGTACACAAGGTCCAAGGTGGATGTTAGGAAAGAAGAAATACGGCAAGACCCGGAAGGTGAGTCTGCTATAGGAGGCGCTCTACTTTACACGTAGTCTTGATTGATACGCCGGCTTGTGTGTTCCATATTGATTTCAGTGATCAAATAAACTATTCCTCTATCGTGCAGAGCCACAGAAGGCTGACTAAGCAAGCTCACATGTCAAACGGCAAGTGAGCTTGTTCAGTCCATAGACTTATCTGCGAAGCTCACATAATGCACGCTTTTAGAAGCAGGACATTTGCCGCTACGCTCATACACTCTAAAAAAGTAGAGGAGGAAAAGGGGCACTGAGTTGCACCTTTAGAGGAGTAGCTAACTTGCCACAGCAATTACCCCATTTTAGGTGTAACTGTGGAGTTACTCCGACCTCCCGTGGTTTCTCCTCAAGAAAGCAACAGTTAGCCAAAGAAAAATCAGGTTTCGATTCACTTAACCAACCTTTCGAAGTGCGTGCAGGCATTTGATCAGATGTGCAAGCAACACATTCAGAAATAAATTTAGTCAAATTTGGAGCAGACACAGGGGATTCGAACTCACGACTACTCAGTCAGCATGCGCGTACACGAACCACTACACCACACCACGCTATGGCACCGTCTGAACGGAAACAGGCTTGTGTGGGCACATGGGTCGTTTGCACACGGCGTGAACATTCCTGCAGTTACTTCCAAAAAAACGGGCGCTTTACTCAACAAGGAGGAAAGTGTCCCTCCTTGCCGTGATGTGTGCAATCTTTCGCGCACATTTCATCTTTTGGTGGAGCAAAGAACGCTTTTCGGGCTAACTGCGCAGTTCATCCGGAAAACCTTTTAGAGTGTACCTACGCTACTGTAGGCTCAGAGAGACAAACTTTTTTCATGCTCTATATATAATCAGCTATTCGTGCATTATGCTCAACACGCTTTTTAGACGGAGTACTCGTATACGCCCGTACAAAAGTCTACAGGGTAAACATAATAAGCCAGTCCGCGGTGGCGTTTGGCCCTCCGGGATGACCTCCCGCTTGTTTCTTCGAACCTTTCGACCTGGAAATATAAAAAAAAGAGGGCAAGGCAATCTTCCGTGCGTGTCCGCAGTGTTTGTCTCGGACCGAGCGCACGCAAAAAAAAAAAAAAAAAAACCACTCGAAAGTCTCGTCACAGCGTTAACGTCGGGAGTCTGCGGGCGCGTCGCCATGCATAAACACACTCGACGAGGAAAAAATAAACAAAATAAAGTAAACTAGAAAAGCTAGAGCGAGAGTGCGCTGCGCGGATGTGCGTGAGAACGCATGGCGTTCCGTATTCATTTTTCATTCCGCCCGAGCTGCCGCTGGTTGCAGCTGCTACTGTTGTTACTGTACTGCCGAGTGTTTTGCGAGTCCTCGGTCGAGCGAACCTATCGCGACAGAAGATCGGCGCGGCGGCGTACGTAAGCGGTGGCGGACTGTTTCTTTTTTCCTCTTTTTTTCCGGATATATTTAAAATAATTTTGTACACTGTGGCAGATGCGCAGGTTCCTGTAAAAAATAAAAGAAAGAATGACACCTCCGTCTCTTTCAGTAGGTACTGAAGGCACGCAAAACTCTTTGTCTTTAACCGAGAAAAAAGAAAGAAAACACGATAAAAAGCCTCACGAAACTTGATTATGTAAACGCACACGCGCACTATGCAAATGCAATTAGGAGCAAAAAAATGCGAAGCTTGCGGAACCGGGCTACTTCTTGCATATTTTCATTTGCCTTATATACCAATTCTGAGCATGTGCTTTTCTAGCATGCCCGACACGTTGCTGCTTCTTTCATTCTTCGCGTTAATCGTTAAAATATGCAAGTTAACTTTGTTTACTTCGTGCCCGTTAGGAGAACAGCCTCGGGTAAACAAATGGCAAGGCGTTCAGTACACATATATGAGTTGGATGCATATATATTGAGAACGCAGTTTGCAGCAAAACCGTGCATGCCTTTCTTATTTCGCTGTCTGTATAGATGCATATTGCGGGGACGTCGTCTTTGTCAACGAGCAATGAGCTTGTGATTCCCCTGCCGCTTCCCTGTGCATTGTTTGCGCGCCCGATCGTTAAGTGACGATAAGGGACATCTCACGCGCTTTACAGGTGAGCGAGCTCACTCGTCGATGACTTTGACAACGTCGCAGTGCGTTTTGTCTTTGCTCTGGCGCCTCCCTTCGCTTTGCATTATGGTCACGCGAAGAAGAGACTCCGAAGCGGCCGCGATGGGGCGGGGATGACTGTGTGAGCTACAGGCACACACAGACGCAGGACGCGACGAGCGCTTTGTTTGAGCATCTGTCAAGAAGTTGTGGGAAGGCAATTAAGCTGGAAGCATAAACCCGTACTTCACGTTGCTCTTCTTCACCTTTCACCTCCTCCTTCGTATTGTGATCATGCTCTTTCTCTCTTTCTCCCGAATAAATATGAATGACGTCTGTTAAGGCTGTACGTTTCGAGAAACTAATTGCCACCGTGGTCTGTTCGTGCTTATTTATTCCTTTTCGGTATTTAGTATTTTTTTCCCACCTCTTCAGAACTGTGCACTTTTGTTTGGTGGACGGATACGATGTCCATAATTCTCGTCACATCTCAGGTATCCAGATGATGGTTGTTATTGATTGCGCCGTGCCGCCGCCTGTAGTAATGCCGCTTTCTCTCTCTTTCTTCCCTCTTTCCACCTTTATCTTTTAATCTTTGCTTGAGCGATCGGACAACCCCTGTTTTAAATGTAATCGCAGCATATGCTAATGTACCACCTGGTGCTAACGACCCTCTATACCGAAGGTCTGTGCTCTTCAGCTGTAAGTGCCGGCTGACGTGTTCTGGGCTGGCTCTTGATTGATGCAGAGTATTCACTGTGAAGAGATTAACGTTTTTCTTTACTTTGAATATAGTTAGTTAGATTATAGCTTACAGTTGACTGGATTAGTATATTCAAGTTCTCTATAGCTTTGATAGTTGAGTGACGAAATGGAAGACACAGTTTTCTAAAACTATATATCGCTTGGCCAAAGAAATAAAGAAAGAAAGAAATAAAGAAATAAAGAAAGGAAGGAAGAAAGGAAGGAAGAAAGGAAGGAAGAAAGGAAGGAAGAAAGAAAGAAAGAAAGCTTGAGTATATGCGAATCAACGACCAACGAATATTGGGGCTGTTCATTTCAAGAATGCGCGTGAAACGTATCACAAAAGACCGGATGATAGTAAAGGCACAGATTTGCAGCACTTATGTGCGTCTTACCTCGTATTTTTAAAGCGATGTTTGGCTTTTAATCTCCAGGACAACGCGTTAATTCGGGACAGTGCGTCATTAGCGCGTTCAAATAATTATGTGCGCTGTTGAGAAACGGCGGACCGATCCCGCCGAAGCCACCACTGTTGCGAAAGACGGCGACGCCAACACGGCCCCGGAGGCGCCACTGCTTTCAACTCCGCCGGGAAGGTCACCAGCCGTTTGGTAGCGTATGTTTATCAGCTCGCGACTGATTCTGCGCAGAGCTGATAAGACGAGCGGACGAGACGACGGTGAGTCAAACAAGGTTTATGTACAGCATATATACAGAGGCGTTACAATTTCGGCACTGGGGCCGACAGAGACTCGAAGAGCCGAGCTCTTCTCTCTAACACATAGTTCAGCCTTTCGCCTAAGACCGCTGACTCACACTGTTATGCCAGCGAGTCCTCGTCAAACGTCCGTGCCTCTGAAACAGGCAATCTGGGTCAAGGCCAGCCCGCAGCCCGCCGGGCGCGAACAACTCCACGGCGTGAACACGCGCGGCGCATCTGTGGCCCACGTGCATTGAGTCAGCGTCGCACGTGACAGCGAGCCGGCGTCCTCATGTCTGGTGGCCTGACGCATCGCGCGGCGAACCCCATTGGAGGAGCCTGCTCTGAAGACCAGCGGCGCTTCTGATTGGACATTTTAGTTGGGCCCGGTGTAAATAAAAGAAGCCCTGCGGCGTGTCGCGATCAGCGGTTTTAGGCGAAAGGCTGACCTATGTGTTAGAGAGAGGAGCTCGGCTCTTCGAGTCTCTGCCGGCCCCAGTGCCGAAATTGTAACGCCTCTGTATATATGCTGTACATAAACCTTGTTTAACTCACCGTCGTCTCGTCCGCTCGTCTCCTCAACTCTGCGCAGAAGCAGTCGCGAGCTGAGAAACATACGCTACCAAACGGCTGGTGACCTTCCCGGCGGGGTCGAAAGCAGTGGCGCCTCCGGGACCGCGTCGGCGTCGCCGTCTTTCGCAACAGTGGTGGCTTCGGCGGGATCGGTCCGGCGCTACGCAACAGTGGTTGGCAGCTGCGGGATCGGCCGGCGTCAGCGACATCGATGCGGTGAGTGCCTGATGTTTTCCCCTCAGTTCACCAGACTACTCTAGCTCAGGTTGTAGTAGTTTAGAGAAGGGCTGTGTGAAGCATTAAAGTAAGCTTTGATCGTTTCAAGCCAAGTCGAAGCGCTTTGAAACCAAAGTTAATGCAGAGGGGGTAAACACGGCAGTGTTAAAATTGCTTGCGCGTCTTGCTAGTAGGCTTATAGTGGGTACGGCAAGTAGATTCTTAACAGGGGCAAACAGCAAGAGGCTAGTGTGAACGATGGAGAACCTTAAAGTGAAGGAACTCATCGAAATTTGTGAGGAACTCTGCATTACTTTGGGCCGTGCGAAACGAAAGCAAGCGATCCTTGAGATCATGAAGGATGAGGGAGTGTCGGCTGAGGAAGTCGATGAGGCCTGGGTGGATATTAAAGCACGCCGTGAGGAGGCTGAAAGGCGAGAAGTAGAAGCTCGCGAACGTGAGGAGGCTGAAAGGCGAGAAGCTCGTGAAGAGGCTGAAAGGCGCGAAGCTCGCGAACGTGAAGAAAGGCGCGAAGCTCGCGAACGTGAAGAAAGGCGAGAAGCTCGCGAACGTGAAGAAGCTGAAAGGCGCGAACGTCGCGAGCGCGAGGAGGCCGAGAGACAGGAGCGCCTCGAGATGAAACGAATAGAATTGGCAATCCTACAGTGTTCGCAGGCGCCTAGCGCAGCTT